ACTGTCACCAAATTGAACTTTGATTACTTTCTGGAGATCTTTCAATACCTGAAAACAAGACACTAATTTAATCCTCACAAATATATCGTCACCAAAAAAAGTTTTTTGGATTTTGTTTTGAAGAACACAAATGCACAGAGAAGTTTGTTACCAGAAAATACGTAGCTTTAAGAGGTATCTTATAAAATTACTGAAATCAAAGATGGGTGAGGAGCAGCGTTTTCAGAAAAATGAAGCTGACCTTATCACTTGCATTTCCTTCAGCCAAACAAAATGGAACTTAAACAGAGGCACTTTGCCTACAGACACGGAGGTGGCTGAAGAACCTTGCAGTGGGTCTGGGAGTGCAGTGTGTGCCAGCAGCACGTATTTTGCTTGGGCTGGTTTTCCCTTTTGTCTGTGTTACCTGTGGTTTAGCTCCCCGCGCGTTGAACTCATCACTGTCACAGTGACTGGGGAGCAGACACACAGAATTTGCCCACTGGGCTGTAAACTGGCACTAAGGGAATGCTTACCTCTCACCACATTTTAATTTGGAAGTGAGTGGACTGGGGTTTGTGACGTTAGTTTTGGTTTTGCTTAGTTGAACATAAGCGTAATTCATGCACTGATACATAAGTTCTCTCCAATAACCTGTTGAGACTCATAAATACCAGACTTTAATTATTAATTCATGAATAACTCTTTCTCTTACCAAATCCATGCAGAGCCCATCTTTATCTGTGCCCTTGAAACATGCACTGCGTTTCCATGTAGGCGACTGCGCACGGTGCAGGTGATCAGACCTTTTTTTTTATCCATATTTTGCATTTACTGCAGCTCTGAAAGCAGAACTGTACCCCACGCTTTTGCTGCGTGGCCTGAGCTGGATGGTTGAAGCAGGTCAGAACTTTTTTTAGCTGCTTCTGCTGCACAGTCGGTGCCTTCTGCAGTCTTTTAGGATGACTGGCCAGCTGATATCTCGGGCTTTTTCTTCCCGCTCTGGTGTGGCTGTGTTTGAGCAAACCACAGTCTCTTCTTGCTTCTGACAGCATCAGGAGCTCTGGAAGACGGAGGTTCTTGTCTCTCTTGCCCTTTTTTAATGCTGAGTACTATCTGTTCTGGGACAAGATTGGCTAGAATGCAAACAAGATAAGGAAAAATTTCCTTTTTGTCCTTTAGTTTTATCTGTTGGAGAGAAGGTCATAGAGGTAGTGGGTAATAGGGTTAAACGTAAAGCTTTTTGTAAAGTGTATAAACTATGTATTGGCATTTTGCCAAATCAACAGGCTTCTGAGTGCTTTAATAATATTCCTATGACACTTACGAATCAAGTTATTAATATTTTAAAATTAAATATTCTTTCCCATTTAAAATAATGAAAAGCTCTGTTTCTCTTTATATGCAAGAAGTGGAGTAAGTCCTGTTGCTGTTTTCCGTTCTCATTTTCCTTAGTGTGGTGTGTTTAGTTTCTTCTTTCATATATTTTTTCCACTTTTGTTTCATTTATACCTAAAAGAAATTACTGAAAGTCCATCTTTCTATATATAATAGTATGGATTGTTGTTTAATTTTAGACTCATTATCTGCTGTATCATAAAGAATGAGAGCCTTCACTAGCTTAGTATGGACAAAGAAATTTTTTTTTCCTAATATAAATTTCTTTAAAGACCAAACCTTTTGAACACAATGAGAGAAAAAAGAATTTGACTCCCATAAATTTATTTGCCTGTGGTGTATTGCGTGATTCGTATTCTAAAGTTTCATTTTTAGTTTCACCTGTAAGCTCATCGTACCAAAGACAGGATTTAGAATTCAAACATGGCATCTTTTCCTCATTGATGGCAAGTATTTGGACAAAAAATAGCAGTTAAGAGAACCCTCCTGAAAAATTGTGGCTAAACCTGAATTTGAATTATTAAGAAGGATTTACTTTTCATAGATGTATTCACTTCTAATTGTTATGGCAATGAAGAATGTGAAAATATGCATTGTGTGTGCACATATCAAATGTGTATTTGCTGATACAGCATGCTGACAGCTGTGTTACTAAATAAGAAAATGTGTATGCTCAAAAAGAAATACTTTTTTTTTTAAAAGTTGCATGACAGTAAAAGGACTGAGTATATTACCACAGGTTTGGATTTTACATATTCAGTTTACACATGAATCCAGTTCCATCTTCCTATTAATTGATATGCAGTTTGTTCTTAACTGCATAGGAGTAAGTAAAACTCTTATTTTTTAGCTGTGCAAAGGGACTGTGGGTAGGATGAATGGAAAGTGTCTGTGGTACAGATCACAGTAGGACCCTTGAGACCTGATTTCTTTTCCAGTTTCACCATTAGCCTACCACGTAACATGGAGGAAGCTGCTTCATAGTTCTGCACCTCAACTTTCCCACTTGTAAGTCGGAGATAATCATACTGCCCTTATAAAACACTTCACAGTTGCACAGTTCTGGGTAAGAAGTAGCTCTAATTATTCTTTTCTTTTCAAGAGACTTGCTACTACATAGTATATTCAGTCCAGATTAAGTGGTGGAGCTGTTATCCACGTGGTGGAGCGCAGACTACAGGATACATTTCATTTAATATGCACTTTTGTTATACATCACATGCTCAGCAGTATTTTTTTTTTTCTATTTTTCCTTTCTCTGAGGAGAAGTGATAGGGAACATGAGAATACAGGAATGGTCTGTAGAGATAAGTGTATTGCAATTTGTTCTTGTGTTACTGGCACTGAATACTGGAGCAGATTTACAAGTG